TAAGGCCAGGAGCCCCTAGTAGCGTCCTTGCTCCTAGTAGTAAGGCCTTGCTCCTAGTAGTAAGGCCAGGAGCCCCTAGTAGCGTCCTTGCTCCTAGTAGCGATGCCAGGAGCCCCTATATAGTAGCGTCCTTGCTCCTAGTAGCGATGCCAGGAGCCCCCATATAGTAGCGTCCTTGCTCCTAGTAGCGATGCCAGGAGCCCCTAAGGCTATTTCATTTGAATTGGGGTTCCAAAATGAACTGGGGTTCCACTACCTCAGTTGGAGAGTGGTTGGCAGATGTTGACACATGTCTGTCATCCAGCCTTGTTGGCTGACAGTGCTTGGCAGATGTTGATACATGTCTGTGCCAATCCTCATGGCTCACCGTGTTTATGGAACATTACTACTTACCTACTCACCATGTCTTGAAAAATCTTGTTGGACACTTTTCAAAGTATTTTGAAGGGGATTGACGAAACGCGTCCAAACACATTTTTAAACTCTCGCGCTGAGCTGGTGTTTCACCATGTAGATGGAGCTGCTTCCCAAGGGGCTGTATTCATTTCATTTTAATTTCTTTGGGTCAACCATGATCACACGATATATCTTTTGCGATGGGCAGAGACATTTGCGTCACCAAATCTTTAGTTTTCAAGTACGCACCCCGTACCTGGTCTACAAACACATTGCACCACCCGTATAGAGAGACGGACTTGGCAAACTTGTGGAAGAGCGTCGCGTCTTGATGCGATGATTTGCACAGCGTTGATCCGCGAAGTGAAGGCGAAGGCGATTGAACTGTGGGAAGATTGCGGTGAAGGATGTAGCTACAAGAAAGCTACAGAACCACCGCACGCTGGAGCATTTGGTAGCTTAGTGTCAGACATTTTTCAAGTTCCTGTTGATCTGCGCCGTTCACGCGTGTGTGTGTGTGTGTGTGTTTTGTCGCCCACAGGCTGCAGCCGTTTGCAGCGCCTTTATCTCTCCACTGCAGCAGCAGAGTGGTTCAGACAAAAGGTTTGTCTTTTTTGGGGGGGGCAGAAGGTTGAAGATGGCTTTCAGTGCGACGTCCTTCACCTGGCCAGTTGAAGGACGTGGGCAGTTTGCGTGTTGTTGAGATGGCAGGGTTTTAGTCCTTTTGTTCGTTGTTCATGTCATCGTGGCTTTCAATCGCGCGCAGGATTGGGCGGAGGTCAAGTTCAACGCCTTGATGTTCGAGGTCGGTAGCCGATAGCGGTCCGGTTCCCAGAAGGGCGTCGCCGCTCTTTGGTTGTGCTTCAAGATTCAAGAGTTTCATGTCCGACGTGTGGGTCAACAGCAGCTGTAAATGTTTTGTATGCCCCACAAGTGGCATCAAACGACCGCCAAAAGAATCCTCAATGTCACAGCCCAGGCCTGGCGTGGCGCAGCAGCTGAAAAACTATACCCTTCATTCAAGGCCAGACATCATTTTCATAGTATACAGACTAATTCATAGAATCATTCCCAACAGTCTTCTAATGGACTCATGACGCGACTCGCTTCAGCCTTCAGCTAGGATAATCTGAGCAACCATTTGTAGAGCAACTTTGGGTTTTGAATGAGGCCAGCATTGTGGTAGCTCTTTGCGCCCCGCCCGTGCCCAGCCTGGTAGTTTCACAATGTTCATAGGTTGACAGGGTGAAGATATAACTGGTCAAGAGACAATGTCAAAGAAGCGTCGGTGGCCGTTGCGAGCTTTGTTTGACCAAAGTTGAGTTGTGTTGATGCTGGTGATATTTTTTGGTGTTGCAAGCCGAGGCCAGCTCACCGTGTCGGGCTCAAGTTGAAGCTTCTGTCAAGTCGCGAAGCGATCACCATGATGTTGGCAGAGATCTGGGGTGTTGGCAAGTAGGCTAGGTTTGACTATTGGTCTTTTTTGCGCTGAGTTGTGAGGGTTGCAGCAGTTGGACGTTGCTGCGCCGGAGGCTTGGATTGTGTGCGATGTTACGCCAGGCCTGGAAAATGTACTGTGTGTGCTTGCCCGCAGCAGAGCAGCGACAGTTTACTGCAAAATGAACTGTGGACAGTTTAAAAGGATAGCACTGCGCCAATTGCTGTTGTGGCTTTTAGTGTTCCACACTCTGCCCCTACGCCCTTGAGCATTGAACTTTGCGCTGATTGCAATGCCTGTCGCCAACGTTGTCAATCGTTTGTCAGACAGCGAGCCGATGCCCCAGATGTCAGTGCAAGCGGTCGCGCGAATCCCTCTTCTTTGGGTACCGTAGACTGCTCTTCCAACCATAAACCCAAGTTGTTTAGGTCGTTGGGGTCCCAATCTAAAGCAGTAAGTGTTGTGGGCTCTGTTGGCAGAAGCCTGGTCTATTATTATGTTCAGACAAACCAATAAATAGACTTTTTGAACTAAAGCTCAAAAAGTCTATTAATGTTCTTGGTTCCAAATAATGTGTAAGAAGGGTTTGGGTTTTCAGCAGCAAGCCAGCAGATTTCCCTTTCAATGCCCTTTTTGCATTGATTATCATGTATGTTTCAACATGTAGAGAGTTTGTATCATTTAAATCATATGTGTTTCCTTTACAGTAGTGCTTGTTCGGTGCTGACGTTGACGTTGGTCACATGCCATCTTTAGGTGTGAGCCAGATCCAAGCTTTGAGGGGCACGATGATGCGCCTACAGAGGCGCCGGTGACAATTTCCAACCTCTCTTTTCTCATTTGTGTGAGCAGCGCAGGCTGTTGAGCGAGATCAGAATCAGGCAGAGGCTTCGATTCTCCATCCTGTCACAGTTGTTGAAAAGACAAGTGATGTTGTCCGTTGGCCAAAATGGGCGGCAGTGATGAAAACCACTAAACGCTCATTCCATTTGCTTTCATTTCGTATCCCTTTGGCAAAAGCGCCGAAACTCAATCTGGTGGTGTCAAGACCCGCCGCAGCCTCAGTTTGTCGTCCTAGTCACTAATCTCAGAATTACTTTTTTTTGGGCGTGCAACCCAAATACAAGTCAGACCAGTAAAAATGCTTTTGAGGCTGGCAACTCCAAATCCAAAGCTGCTGGCCCAATGGGTGGCAAGGGTAAGAAAGTTTTGAAGTCTGGCTTCTTCACTGGGCGAAGAGTGTTCCGCTCATGGAGTACCATTAGTTGAAGCCCCAGTTCATTCGATGGCTGGAACATTCAGCATAGATGGCACACCAAAAAGCCAGTAGTTGCTATTAGACTTGAGTCGCAACCTAGGGTGCTTTTCTGCGACTGTCCGCGCGTCCCAAAAGCCATCCAACCGTGGCGTTGCTGTCCCTAGCTGAGTTGTAGGTTCAGTTGGGTTACGCGACATTTGGTATCTATTTTAATACCAGTGAATCCGAGGACCTGGCCAACCAGGTGAGATGGAGCCAGGATTATAAGGATGCTTGCAAGAAGTCTGGGCGTTCACCTTCAGAAGGGACTTTCTTGTCGCCAGAGACCGGCGAGTTCTTCTCCGGTTTGCCGCGAGGTTGGACGGACCACACCCCAGGAGCTGTGAGCACCGCTGCCTTCGACGCTGCATTTCCAGATGCGCGGAAAGCCGTTGCCTGAATCAGAACGGCAGTTCGTTCATGTTTCAAGAAGGGCACGC